GCTTTGCTTGGGAAGACATAGTAATCTACCAAGAATTGATAAGTATTGCCGTGAATCTTGATTTTGCGAGCAAGCTGGAGGCCATGCAAGATGTTTGGACAACTTGTGGAATTGACAGTTCATCACTGGACCAGTTCAAGCCTGAAGTGGGGACGCAGCAAGCCGCGCAGTACAGTGTCTTTGGCTTCTCGTGGTCAAGTTGGCACGAACAGACTTGCCCACCCTTGCCATTGAAAAGCGATTTCAAATTCAACTGGACATTATCAGTAGAGAATACCGAGCCGACCCCAGATTCTAAACGGAATGCCCCACTGGACGAAGCTCTCAAAGCGTATCCACTTACCTCCAAGGAAACCATTTGGGACATGAAACGAAAGATTGCTTTTGCGAACGTTGGCCAGGCTGGTAAGTGCAAGAAAATGCAATGTTTCATCTCGTTTGCAGCCCTCTTCCTCACATTTTCCTTCCACAGGCGGGAACGACGTGCGAATGGCATTCCCTCGAATGTGGTGTAAACGAAAAAGTGAAGACCTCGACGAGATCCGTAGCTGCGTTGACAAGACCTACAGGAAGGACTCGCCTATATCCAATGCCTTTGATCTCGAGCTTCACATGAGTCTTGGTTCTCCGAACAAGTTGCAGAGTCACACTACATTTGCCTTTACCATGCGCAATCCAATCTGGCGATCCATTGCTGCCTATCAATACCTTCATCACAACAACACCAGCAGTCAATTGGCCCAATCAACCCATCCACTGAAAGAAACCTTTTACAAGCAGTGCTTCCCTACACTTGTCATTCTACTCGACACGATTGATGGAATTTACAAGCGAGCACGAGTTGGTAAAGATGAAGAACCACCCGCTTTGGAGTATTGCGAAGAACTCGCCATTACCGTATTCAAAGGAGCCAACATCCAAGTGGGCTCAATCAACGCCCATTTGAGAGACAATTACCAATACTACTATCAACACACTGCCATGAACTATCCAGAGAAGGAGATCATGGCATTCCGTGCAGACCACATTTGGGATGACTTGGAGAATCTGGACAAAGCCACGGGTGGACCAGGGGTACTATTCGAGCACGACGTTGCAACTAAGGATGCCAAGGCCACCAAACAACCTCGACACCGCAGCCTTTGTTGCGTGCTTTGGGAAGAGCTTGAAACGTATCAGACCATTTTGAACAGAGCTACCAACCTGGATGGACTGAGCAAAGCCGAGAGTATGCGGGATGTTTGGGAAACGTGTGGTATTGGCGGCTTTGACCAATTCAATGACAAAGTTGATGAAAACGCGACAAGAGGAAAGTTTGATCCTCCAGTATTGTTCACGTTTTCGTGGAAAAGGTGGCATGCCAAGTCCTGTCCTGTAGTGGGCTCAGTGCTGATTTTGTGCTTTAGGGCACTTGTGGGTACGGTCTGGAACTAACTACCGGTAGCTAGCTTCGCCAGGATACAAGGCATCACTTCGATCGGTTGCCCCCACATGTACGGTACCGTAGCACATTCAATTACCATTGCCGTCTTTGTCTACTGATCAAGTTTCTTGGATTTAGTTTAGAACTCACCCTTGAGAGGCATGAATTGTGCTTTGAATCTCCAATAAGATTAGTTTCATTCAGTGTGCGGAGCCCACCTTTAACCTTATGATGATGGAGGGAAGAAGCCCTGAACGTGCCGGTATCGCTGCTCGGTGCTGCAGTTTAAAAACTGCCATGGTTTGCTGTAATGTGCATCACCTGATGCGACTCTAGCTACCGGTAGGAGGGCAGCACCACCTGCAGATCTTCCTTTCCTGCTGTTTCTTAGATCCGTTCCTTCCTCCTCTATTTGCAGTTGCTATCTACCAAAAGAACGGACTCCAACTACCACAATGACTACCAATGCCGTGAGGACTGACAGTACTGGCCGTGTCAAGTGACCATCCACACAGAACGGTACTTGCGCTACTTCCTCCGGAGTCAATGTATCTTGCTGAAACGGTCGATGCCCCGTTCGCAGCACGGTCTGACCATTTTCATCCTGCACCACGACTTGTATTGTTTGCTGTTTCCAATCAATATCGATTCGTCCATAATTCCGTCCAATGTAAAAGTTGTTGCTGCTTTGAAATCGATTTTGGTTGTACTTTTCGAGTACTGGTTGGCACATGAATCCATAAAAGGGTTGACTGCAATAATGAGTCAAACCACTGGACGTGACTTCTAAAAAGCTCGACTTGCTCTTGGATACTGTTGTTGTTGATTGTGATTCCAGTGGATTGAATATTTCGGCATGATGTACATCTCCCGACAAGAGTACCAATCCGGAAATGCCCTTGCCCAGTAGCGTTATGAGTCGCTGTCGTTCCAGTGGAAAGTGCCCCCAACTCTCGACGGTAGGATCCGTGGTCAAGACTTGAATGGAACTGACGACAATGTGTACATTGGCTTGACTATTCGTAGTTAATTCTTGCTCGAGCCAGTTCCATTGTTGCTCTCCCAATACAGTGGGTGCCTTCCAGCAATCCCAAAAGGGCCACCATTGATTGACGTTGAAGCCTGCCAGTGCCCATCGTGTGGCGGCCGACAATCCGGCTCCCAACGGCACTTTCGTGGCCAGACTGGGGAAACAGTGTTTAGTTCGATGCCATCGTGTGTCCAATAGAATGAGTTTGACTTGTTCGGGTGGAGTGCCAAATGTGACACTGTAGTAGAGTCCATCTCGTTCTTGTAGTGTTGTTTGACTAGTAGTAGTAGATTGATCGAGTTGTAGAAAGTCCATGAACAAATCGGCGCGGTCTCGTTTGTCTGGCATTTCGACGCCAGCATCGTTCCCTCCATAGTCGTGATCGTCGTAGACTCCATAAATTCCATTTTTAACGTGCGACGCAAATTGTCGATATCCAATGGTTTTGTTGGTCTTCATATCGTGGAAGAGTTGCTTCAAGTAGGTCGTATTGGCAATCTTGCGTTGTGCCGGATAGACGGCATCGCCCGTCCAGACAAACAGATCGGGAGATTCGGCTGATATGGCCTTCCAAATGTTATTGTCGTGGACATGTCCATGGATTTTGCGTGCATTGTGGCAACTGCCAAAGGCAATCTTGGAGAGAGTGGCATTGGGATGGGAAATATCGGAGGCGGCGACAACAATCACGGCATCATGCAATAACAACAAGACCAAGAGACTCCACAGCGACATTATTAGCAAGAGACCTGGAGAGGGTCTCCGTTGGAGGAGAAATCTACTACGACTACCGATCATGTTCATTGTCAGTCTCAAGGAGCCAAGAAAGAAAGAGGAGACGAAGAGCGCCAGCTGCGCCACAAGTGACTTGTGGGCCCTCTTCCTTGCTTTGGATTTGTTAGAAAGGTATTTTCGTTATGACGGACAGACGACTCGGATCCACAATCACGGTTCGTGATTGGGGATGTGTGACTCAAATCAGATGGTTATCCGATCATCATCAGATGGCCAGGTGTACAGGAACGAGGACAATGGTCGTCTAGATGAGCAACTACAAAGGTTAGGAAGTTAGTCGAAAGATGAATGCAAGGAGCGACGGGATGGAACAAATGTAATGGACGGATGAAGGTCCATAGGTTTAGTAAAGTGGGAAAGCCCTCCAGGGCCAACCATGCACTTCAAGAAGATAGATCGACGAGATCTATCTGCAGATGAAACTGCGAGAAACAGAGATCGAAAGATCCTGGTATATGTATGCATATCGGACTCAGTTGTAGAGCTCACAACCTGAACGAGAGAGAAAGAGAAAACGAAACAAATAGCCAGTCTACTAGACAGTAGAGCTGGAAGGATATGATTAAATTAGAGAAATTTTGCGTTCAAGTTCACACCTTTTCAACACGTTTTAAAACGATAGTATCAGGAAAGAGTGAGCTTGAATCCAGGTTGTCAAACAGAAAAGAGAAGATTGAGAAGTAAGTAAAGATGTCTACGGAGGTAGAGGTATCATCGTCGAGCAAGTATCCATCTTCGATGGGAAAGATGAGAAGTTCAGGTTCTACAAGGTCAAGATGATGGCCCATTTATCAAAGTATGGGTACGTAGAACTAATGAAGGACTCTACGGAATCAAACCGGACAACTGGGAAACCCTACAGGTACGGGCAAGTTGTCGGACGACGAATAGAAAAGGTCGAAAGTATGCAGAAGAAGAACAGCAAGGCTGCTGTAATACTGCTGGACTCGATCAATGTGGAGACCATCGAAGGGCAAGTCGCCTTCGACCACTGGCCTCAAACCAAACGACTACCATGTGCTGGGAAATTCAAGGGCATGTGGAGTCCATGCTGGACCCTACGATGCTGAAGACAGTGTGAGGTAGCAGCTCGACGAACGGAATACTACGCGATAAAATGGACATCAAGGAAAACCCAAAGAAAGTTCGAGATTGGACTCGACGTGAAACGCAAGAAGCTAGCGAAGGATGGGTTCAAGATATCGGACGAAAGAGTACACAAGGACCTTCTCGAGAAGATGCCGAAGAAGGAAGGAGAACTCGGAGTGTATCATGAAGTGAAGAAGAATGTTCTGAGAAGGATCAAGACAAAGGACATGAATAACGGTAAAGAGTGTGGTGGATGACTTATGCGAAATCTACGATGAGATTAAAGCACGGAACAAGTCGACAGACCACAATGGCGAAACAGCTTTCATGATTGGAGGAAAACAGTTCAGGGCAGATGCAGGAACTGTGGGAAGATCGGACACAAGCAACAAGACTGCCCAACAAGAAAGGCTCGAACGGAAGAAGCTACGGAAAAGGTACCAAGGAAAGTCAACGGTAAATTCAACAGGAACAATGGGAGCAGTAGCGGATTTCAAGGAAAGAAAAGTTCAGCGGAAAGTGCTTCCACTGTGGAAAGATTGGCACAGGAAATCGGATTCCTAAAACTCAAAGCGGAACAACGAAATGTAGAAGGGGCGAACACAGCACAAAAAAACAAGAAGAGATGGCATTCATGACGATGAGCGATGAAATATCATGCCATGCCGAGGAGTAAAGTTGTCAGACGATGAAACAGGGAGTAGAAGAAGCATCGGAATATGAAGGCAAAGAATGGGACGCATCTGGGACGATTTTGAAAGCGGAGTGACGTGGATGAAGATGGAGAAAGTTGGAGCAATTAACTTATGAGGCGATGGACGCCCTTAAATCTCTCAAGAAGAACAACAACGACTGAATAAAGAAGAATCAGTCACAACAACAAGAACCCAGACGGTACCTATCTGTCCTGCGAAACAGAGAGCAGGGCAGATTCGACAGCGAAACACTCCACGATTTAAAAGCAAAACGGCTACAACAAAGAAGTTTTCTGAGAAGGAGGAGAAACAACGAAACGTCAAATTCGCCCACAATCTACGAAGACGGACAACTACTACAGCTGTTTGAGCGAAGACGACGAAGAAGTAGAAGATGTCGAACAGATTCCAAGTTGCCCGGAACCGTGCTAGAGGCACAGCTGTACCGAGGTTGGAGTCGGCATCATGGGATGTCGGTTGCTCAATGGGATTGGATGTTTGCTGATCTTCATCATTGTCGACTCCAAACCTCGGTACAGCTGTGCCTTAGCACGTTCCGGGCAACTTGGAATCTGTTCGGCATCTTCTACTTCTTCGTCGTCTTCGCTCAAACAAGCTGTAGTAGTTGTCGTCTTCTAGATTGTGGGCGTAATTGACGTTCGTTGTTTCTTCCTCCTTTTCAGAAACTTCTTCGTTGTATGCCGTTTTGCTTTAAATCGTGGGGTGTTTCGCTGTCGGAATTTGCCTTGCTCTCTGTTTCGCAGGCAGATAGGTAACGTTTGGGTTCTGTTGTATGTGACTTTCTTCTTTATGTCAGTCGTTTTTGTTCTTCTTGCGAGATATTTAATGGCGTCCATCGTCCTCATAGGTTAATTGCTCAAGCTTTCTCCATCTTCATCCACTTCTATCTCCGCTTTTAAAATCGTTCCCAGATGCGTCCCATTCTTTGCCCTCATATTCCGATGCTTCTTCTACTCCTCCTGTTCATCGTCTGACAACTCTACTCCTCGGATGGCATGCATATTTCATCGCTCATCGTCAATGAATGCCATCTTTCCTTGTTTCTTGTGCTGTGTTCGCTCCTTCTACATTTCGTTGTTCGCTTTGAGTTTTAGGCAATCGGATTTCCTAGTGCCCAATCTTTCCACAGTGGAGCACTTTCGCTGAACTTCTTCTTTCCTTGAAATCGCGCTACTGCTCCCATCTGTTCCTGTTGAATTTACCGTTGGACTTTCCTTCGGTACCTTTGTCCGCAGCTTCTCCGTCGACCTTTCTTGTCTGGCAGTCTTGTTGCTTGTGTCCGATCTTCCCACAGTTCCTGCATCTTCCCTTGACCTGTTTTCCTCCAATCATGAAAGCTGTTTCGCCCATTGTGGTCTGTCGACTGTTCCGTGCTTTAATTCATCGTAGATTCGCATAAGTCATCCACCACACCCTTTACCGTTATTCCCTATCCTGTTGTCTTTATCCTTCTCAGAACATTCTTCTTCACTTCATGATACACTATCCGAGTTCTCCTTCCTTCTATCGGCATCTTCTCGAGAAGGTCCTTGATGTACTCTTCGTCCGATATCTTAACCCATCCTTCGCTAGCTTCTCTGCGCTTTCACGTCGAGTCCAATACGAACTTCTTTGGGTTTTCCTTGATGTCCATCTTTATCGCGTAGTATTCTATTCGTCGAGCTGCTACCTCACCACTGTCTTCAGCATCGTAAAGGTCCAGCATGGACTCCACATGCCCTTAAATTTCCCAGCAGCATGGTCAGTCTTTTGGTGTGAGGCCAGTAGGTCGAGGCGACTTGCCCTTCGATGGTCTCACACATTGATCGAGTTCAGCAGTATTCCAGCAGCCTTGCTGTTTACTTCTGCAGACTTTCGACTCTTTCTACTTCGTCGTCACGACAACTTGCCCGTACCTGTAGGGTTTTTCCCAGTTGTCCGGTTTGATCTCCGTATGAGTCTTCATAGTTCTACGTACCCATACTTTGATAAATGGGCCATCATCTTGACCTTGTAGAACCTGAACTTCTCATCTTTCCCATCGAAGATGGGATACTTGCTCGACGATGATACCTCTACCTCCGTAGACATCTTTACTTACTTCTCAATTCTTCTCTTTTCTGTTTGACAACCTGGATCCAAGCTCACTCTTTCCTGATAGCTATCGTTTTAAAACGTGTTGAAAAGGTGTGAACTTGAACGCACAATTTCTCTAATTTAATCAATATCCTTCCAGCTCTACTGTCTAGTAGACTGGCTATTTGTTTCGTTTTCTCTTTCTCTCTCGTTCAGATTGTGAGCTCTACAACTGAGCTCCGATATGCATACATATACCAGGATCTTTCGATCCTCTGTTTCTCGCAGTTTCATCTGCAGATAGATCTCGTCGATCTATCTTCCTGAAGTGCATGGTTGGCCCTGGAGGGCTTTCCCACTTTACTAAACCTATGGACCTTCATCCGTCCATTCATTTGTTCCATCCCGTCGCTCCTTGCATTCATCTCTTCGACCTAACTTCCTAACCTTTGTAGTTGCATCATCTAGACGACCATTGTCCTCGTTCCTTGTACACCTGGCCATCTGATGATGATCGGATAACCATCTGATTTGAGTCACACATCCCCAATCACGAACCGTGATTGTGGATCCCGAGTCGTCTGTCCGTCATACGAAAATACCTTTCTAACAAATCCAAAGCAAGGAAGAGGGCCCACAAGTCACTTGTGGCGCAGCTGGCGCTCTTCGTCTCTCCTCTTTCTTTCTTTTGGCTCCTTGAGACTGACAATGAACATGATCGGTAGTCGTAGTAGATTTCTCCTCCAACGGAGACCCTCTCCAGGTCTCTTGCTAATAATGTCGCTGTGGAGTCTCTTGGTCTTGTTGTTATTGCATGATGCCGTGATTGTTGTCGCCGCCTCCGATATTTCCCATCCCAATGCCACTCTCTCCAAGATTGCCTTTGGCAGTTGCCACAATGCACGCAAAATCCATGGACATGTCCACGACAATAACATTTGGAAGGCCATATCAGCCGAATCTCCCGATCTGTTTGTCTGGACGGGCGATGCCGTCTATCCGGCACAACGCAAGATTGCCAATACGACCTACTTGAAGCAACTCTTCCACGATATGAAGACCAACAAAACCATTGGATATCGACAATTTGCGTCGCACGTTAAAAATGGAATTTATGGAGTCTACGACGATCACGACTATGGAGGGAACGATGCTGGCGTCGAAATGCCAGACAAACGAGACCGCGCCGATTTGTTCATGGACTTTCTACAACTCGATCAATCTACTACTACTAGTCAAACAACACTACAAGAACGAGATGGACTCTACTACAGTGTCACATTTGGCACTCCACCCGAACAAGTCAAACTCATTCTATTGGACACACGATGGCATCGAACTAAACACTGTTTCCCCAGTCTGGCCACGAAAGTGCCGTTGGGAGCCGGATTGTCGGCCGCCACACGATGGGCACTGGCAGGCTTCAACGTCAATCAATGGTGGCCCTTTTGGGATTGCTGGAAGGCACCCACTGTATTGGGAGAGCAACAATGGAACTGGCTCGAGCAAGAATTAACTACGAATAGTCAAGCCAATGTACACATTGTCGTCAGTTCCATTCAAGTCTTGACCACGGATCCTACCGTCGAGAGTTGGGGGCACTTTCCACTGGAACGACAGCGACTCATAACGCTACTGGGCAAGGGCATTTCCGGATTGGTACTCTTGTCGGGAGATGTACATCATGCCGAAATATTCAATCCACTGGAATCACAATCAACAACAACAGTATCCAAGAGCAAGTCGAGCTTTTTAGAAGTCACGTCCAGTGGTTTGACTCATTATTGCAGTCAACCCTTTTATGGATTCATGTGCCAACCAGTACTCGAAAAGTACAACCAAAATCGATTTCAAAGCAGCAACAACTTTTACATTGGACGGAATTATGGACGAATCGATATTGATTGGAAACAGCAAACAATACAAGTCGTGGTGCAGGATGAAAATGGTCAGACCGTGCTGCGAACGGGGCATCGACCGTTTCAGCAAGATACATTGACTCCGGAGGAAGTAGCGCAAGTACCGTTCTGTGTGGATGGTCACTTGACACGGCCAGTACTGTCAGTCCTCACGGCATTGGTAGTCATTGTGGTAGTTGGAGTCCGTTCTTTTGGTAGATAGCAACTGCAAATAGAGGAGGAAGGAACGGATCTAAGAAACAGCAGGAAAGGAAGATCTGCAGGTGGTGCTGCCCTCCTACCGGTAGCTAGAGTCGCATCAGGTGATGCACATTACAGCAAACCATGGCAGTTTTTAAACTGCAGCACCGAGCAGCGATACCGGCACGTTCAGGGCTTCTTCCCTCCATCATCATAAGGTTAAAGGTGGGCTCCGCACACTGAATGAAACTAATCTTATTGGAGATTCAAAGCACAATTCATGCCTCTCAAGGGTGAGTTCTAAACTAAATCCAAGAAACTTGATCAGTAGACAAAGACGGCAATGGTAATTGAATGTGCTACGGTACCGTACATGTGGGGGCAACCGATCGAAGTGATGCCTTGTATCCTGGCGAAGCTAGCTACCGGTAGTTAGTTCCAGACCGTACCCACAAGTGCCCTAAAGCACAAAATCAGCACTGAGCCCCACTACAGGACAGGACTTGGCATGCCACCTTTTCCACGAAAACGTGAACAATACTGGAGGATCAAACTTTCCTCTTGTCGCGTTTTCATCAACTTTGTCATTGAATTGGTCAAAGCCGCCAATACCACACGTTTCCCAAACATCCCGCATACTCTCGGCTTTGCTCAGTCCATCCAGGTTGGTAGCTCTGTTCAAAATGGTCTGATACGTTTCAAGCTCTTCCCAAAGCACGCAACAAAGGCTGCGGTGTCGAGGTTGTTTGGTGGCCTTGGCATCCTTAGTTGCAACGTCGTGCTCGAATAGTACCCCTGGTCCACCCGTGGCTTTGTCCAGATTCTCCAAGTCATCCCAAATGTGGTCTGCACGGAATGCCATGATCTCCTTCTCTGGATAGTTCATGGCAGTGTGTTGATAGTAGTATTGGTAATTGTCTCTCAAATGGGCGTTGATTGAGCCCACTTGGATGTTGGCTCCTTTGAATACGGTAATGGCGAGTTCTTCGCAATACTCCAAAGCGGGTGGTTCTTCATCTTTACCAACTCGTGCTCGCTTGTAAATTCCATCAATCGTGTCGAGTAGAATGACAAGTGTAGGGAAGCACTGCTTGTAAAAGGTTTCTTTCAGTGGATGGGTTGATTGGGCCAATTGACTGCTGGTGTTGTTGTGATGAAGGTATTGATAGGCAGCAATGGATCGCCAGATTGGATTGCGCATGGTAAAGGCAAATGTAGTGTGACTCTGCAACTTGTTCGGAGAACCAAGACTCATGTGAAGCTCGAGATCAAAGGCATTGGATATAGGCGAGTCCTTCCTGTAGGTCTTGTCAACGCAGCTACGGATCTCGTCGAGGTCTTCACTTTTTCGTTTACACCACATTCGAGGGAATGCCATTCGCACGTCGTTCCCGCCTGTGGAAGGAAAATGTGAGGAAGAGGGCTGCAAACGAGATGAAACATTGCATTTTCTTGCACTTACCAGCCTGGCCAACGTTCGCAAAAGCAATCTTTCGTTTCATGTCCCAAATGGTTTCCTTGGAGGTAAGTGGATACGCTTTGAGAGCTTCGTCCAGTGGGGCATTCCGTTTAGAATCTGGGGTCGGCTCGGTATTCTCTACTGATAATGTCCAGTTGAATTTGAAATCGCTTTTCAATGGCAAGGGTGGGCAAGTCTGTTCGTGCCAACTTGACCACGAGAAGCCAAAGACACTGTACTGCGCGGCTTGCTGCGTCCCCACTTCAGGCTTGAACTGGTCCAGTGATGAACTGTCAATTCCACAAGTTGTCCAAACATCTTGCATGGCCTCCAGCTTGCTCGCAAAATCAAGATTCACGGCAATACTTATCAATTCTTGGTAGATTACTATGTCTTCCCAGAGCAAGCAGCACATGGCCTGGAACTGCGCCTTTGATGGGCTTGCTCCGTTTGAAACTACAATGTTTTTGTTGGAAACTCGACCGTCTTCGTCATTGGCCCCACGGCCCCCTGTTGCCCTGTCCAACGCCTTGATATCATCCCACATGTGGTCTGTTCGAAACACCATGATTTCCTTTCCAGGATATTGCTCCATGGTCTTGGAGTAATAGAACTTGTAGTTATCCCTGAGGTGCATATTGATCTGCCATACATTTGGGTCCTGCCCCTTCATCACCGTCATAAGCATTTGCTGACAATACGTTTGGAGCTCCCCCGGTTTCAATTCCTTGGTATCTGGCTGAAAGATTTCATCCGCCGTCTTCCAAAGGTCAGGCAGTGTCGGGAAGCATAACTTGTAGAATTGCTGCTTCAACGGGTGCGTGGATCTGGATGCCTGGCTTTTCGTATTGTTGTGATGCAGATATTTGTACGACGATATTGCCCTTGAGACAGGATTCCTCATGGTCCACACGAAAGTGGTATATGACTTCAAAAAAGTCGTGTTGCCAAGAAACATGTGAAGTTCCGCATCAAACTGGTTGGAGATCGGAGATTCTTTGCGAAAGCTTTCGTCATAACACCGATTCATCTGTCGGGCTGTCCTTTCGCGGCAGCACGCAAGTCTTGGGAATGCAGCTCGGACCGTGTTCCCTCCAGTTTTTCCGACGTGCACAAGCGCTATCTTCCTGTCCATTCGCGGAATCACGACAACAGCGTTGTTGGAATTTCCCTCGCGAACTTCGGTACTTCTTGGTTCCATCGTCATTAGGGGAGCCGGCTCATGGAGGACACTTCGATCACCCGCCTCAAGGATCGGTGGATCAGAGGTTTGCACAGAAGATGGCTCTGGAGCTCCGTTGTCGTCGACAAGACGATCATTGGCGGGATTGTCTTGCTCCACTCCATCCAGAGTGAAGTCGTCGTCAAAGGGAAGGTCATCATCGACCCCACCATTGACAAGGAGCTGCTTCTTTTTCCAAAAGGTTCCTTCTGTTCTGCTCACTCGTCTCTTTTGCTTATCATCATCAAATCCCAGAGATACTGAAGAATTCGTCGACACGCGGACGACGACGAGTAACATGAGAATCCACACTGCAGATACCGCAAAGGACTTGGTCCTTGTTGGAACTGCAGAAACTATGTCGATCTGTTGCATGATTGAAGAACCTCAACACCAAACGGACCGGAGAAAAGTAGAGCCAATTGATGGGTCGAAAGATGTTCCGTACTCTAAGAAGCAAGATGAGAGCTGATCAGATCGTAAGATGCAAAATGTGCTGGATTCGTTGCTCCATCAGGCGTGGATGCTATGAGCATAAGCAGGGATTCGATCTCAAGGTCACTTGCAAAAGATTCTCCATTCCCCATGGAGAGTGTTCCTTTTTGCTATCCGGGCCTTCGAGCTATCCGAAGGGCTTTGGACTGCAAAGTTGACCAATCCAATGCATCATGGAACTTCGGTACCCCATAGTTAGGAATAGTAACCTACCGGTACCTGGTAGCTAGAACACCAGAGACATTGTGGTGCCGAAACTATTCGTCCGGGGGTTGTCTTCCAAGCCAACCAACACAAAAGCCATTGGCACATGCAACATGCATTGGGTGGACTACGTGTACGTAGTGGTACTGGTACTGGTACCGGTACCGCTGGGAACGGTGGCCGAAGCACAAGGATCCAAATCCAAAGCCTGAATGCAAACCAGCTAAGCTGCGTAACAGATTAAAAAACGGTGGATGCACAATCCCACCATACCAGGTCGGTTTTCAGACCAGCAAGATGTCATCGGATTCTGTCAGTGTCGTGCCGTCAAAATGGAGGTGGGCCATCGGGTTAGGTGCTTCCACACTGCTGGATCGGAAGGATGTCTGGATCACCAGCCAATTTCGTTGCTAGAGACAAGTTGCGTCAGCCGTGCAAACAATTGTACCGTAGTGTACCGTGTACGGCGCAGCTTTCTGCAGTGAATATGTACCAAACACTGGTCCATGTACAGGGACAAATAGCTATACCGGCCAACTCCAAACCAAGTACAGTTTGCATGAAGTTGGCTTGCAACTTCGGTGTCATCTTCAGCATCCTCTAGAGCTAAGGGATGCTAATCGCAGCGACGAGGAATAGAACTACCGATAGTACGATAGCTGAAATATACCGTAGTAAAAGAGTACCAGGTTTGGAGAGGCAATTCTGCCTTTGAATGCTGTCTTCTCCCTGGCTAGAGTACTGGTACAGTAGTGCCAGCAAGCATATCGTGTAGCTTCCGTCCTCCCCAAAGATGACAATGCCAACCGTCTGCACGTCGCTCCTAAACCAAAAGACCGGATGATGACCGCACAACATTGAAAAGGGGGGCACCCCCAGTTGGTTCCTTCAAGAACCAACGGGGAACCCTTGTTTTCGGCTGAGATCGAGAGCCAACAAACACGACCATGTCCATGACGAGATAGAGGTCGAGACCACACGCCTCTTCCCTTAGCCAAGTCGATCAGTAGAACCAACAGACAGTCACTGTGCGGCAACAGCCAGCGTCTGGTTTATCACTGCTTGTTTCCTCTACCGCACCGAAACAACAAGTCGATCCAGCTAACACAGGATCCAGTCGAGCCGAAAGCCAGGTCTACCGTAGCTAGCTATTGGTTCCTAAGAGTCCGTTCATGAGGCGACAACAACGACCGCTACAGTTGTGACTAGATTTTCATCGCCATTTGGTAGAGGACGCAGCAAGCTGAAAGCAAGGCGCTGGTTTCTCTCTGCGGTCAAAACGCAATACACATTTCCCAGCCCTCGGAACCCTTTCCTTAATGGTCTTTATCAATCCTCTTTTGGCAAGACAAGACCGAACAACCAACGATACAGCATCCTCATCATACGCAGAAACAAACAACAACAACCATGAGTGGCAGAAGAGTCCCTGGAAGAGGTCCCGGCAGAGGCATGGACCGTAAGAGCTCCTTTGCACGGAGCTTCTTCTCGTCGGGGGAAGGAGAGAATGGCGAAGAAGCACAATTAGATGACTCGGTACCAGTACCGAGATCTCGGCCTCTGGGTCGACTGGCATCACGTCGGAACCTCTCAATAGCGAAAAGACCCTCCATGATGAGTGCGCCCTCGCAGAGAGGGATCGAAGCCACACGATCTGGAGACTCCTTGAGCAGTGCTGCTGCATCTCTGGCCAGTGCTGGTGGTGGAGCTGCTGGGAAACTCTCCAGTCCCGTAGCTGTTGCGGCGGCACCACCACGGAATGCGGAAGAAAATTGGCTGCGGCAGTCCATGCTACGATCGTCAGGTGCAGCAAGTGGTGGTGGTGGTGCCATTGGCTTTGATATGAATGCCATTGATGCTGCCCTGAAAGAAGATGAAGCACTAGAGGCTGGGTTTGATGATGAAGAAGTTTTGGAACAATATCGGATCATGGCCCAGCACGAAGCTACACTACGTGTCAAAGCCAACACGGGGTTTGATATGGCAGATTATGAAAAGAGACGAAAAGTACAAGGGAATGAAAACAAAGACAAGAAAGAACTCTACGGGGGAGGCAAAAAGCCAAAACTCGGTCTTCCCCCGCCACAGCATGTTCTGTCCTCTCTGAATTCCAATCATAATGGCAACAGCCACAGCCACTCCGGCGTCGGTGGATTCTCTGCTCCGCCGTCAATACCCCTCTCACAAAAAGGTGGCTACGGATTCACAAATGGCAGCAGTAGTGCCTGTATCAGTGACAACTACATGACCTTTTTGGAAGAGCAGCACACAAAGGCACAATCACTGCCTGAATTATCACAAGGAGAAATTGTACGAAATACTCAAACTGCAGAAGGAGAGCACGTCGTGCGCTGCTGGGGCTGTCGACTGAACCTCCGAGTCAACTACGTGGCAACCCTAGTTCAGTGCCCCGAATGCAAAACCGTCAGTCAAGCGAGGAAAAGGGCCTGAGACAACGCTTTCTGCCTCCTGGCCGGCCTCATTTATTTACACTCAGCAAGAGTCGAGTCGCATCGAAAGTCGAGTCAATCAATCACTTTGTGCCTTGGAAGGAACGAATAAATAGCGCTGGTCGGTCGCATTGTTGCATTAGTCTGTGGCTAGATGAACGAACGAATGGTGGCAAGCAGATAGAAATCTGCCACCATTTAGCTCTTTTGCTTCAGCATACGTACTCTTGAGGTATCAAATGAGTGGCAGTAGACAGCAAGTTGATCAAACATCACCTAGCTAGCCTCGTAGGAATTCCAATGATTGGGCATATCTCCGGTTCAACGGCTTCTCTCTTGAGACGCTTACTATAGTCCGGACGAATGTACTAGTACCGTACTGTTCAAGCTTTCTTTTCTTTCAAAGGGAGCCACGCAGCTGATACCATAGTGTTGCCAGGACTGTATTTGTGAAGGAGGCCCTGCACTTAGAAACTGGCGGGCGCAGCAATCCGTAGCCTGTGAACCGAAAGGATGAAGAGCTTGTGCTTGCCAGTAGCCCCCTCTCTTTCGAAACGCACTCCCGTGTCTTATCTTGCAAGTGATGACCTACGGCATATTGCCACTGTGTTTTGTGGGCAAGCCTGAGGACTAATAAAGACACCTAAGCAAGGGGTCAAGGGGGTCTCCCGTTGTCCAAACATGCCTTGCAACTAACTTTAGTCAAGCAAAGATCGACAAGGAAATGGCATGTTTTGACCCACTGATACATGAATAATGTGGGATTTTGAGGCCTAGTAACTACCATACATTTGTGAATAACCTACAGGCTATTAGATTACATGTTTGTTTGCTGTGCTTGTGTTTTGACTGAAGTAGCGCCGCTGGAAAGGTTTGATTCCTTCTTCATTCATTTTGCCTATTCCCATGAAAAAGTTCCTACAAGCAAGTAGATTGAATACGGTATGAAGCTGGCAGTGGATGGTGGCATATCTACATGTCCATTCATCATTCATTGTGAGTTGGCTGGTTGCATCCTCCACCGACAAACTGGGTGCTTCATTCATTCCTGCTTGCATCAGCTACGCCCCCTTGCGTTCCGTGGGTGTCCCAGCGGAATGCCTTTCCTCCAAAAAGTCGTCGGCATCCTCATCTTCAATTCTAATGGAAGACTCGTCGAAGAGGAACTTTTTGTAGACTTCTATTTGGACTTTCTTTTCAATATCATCGCCATCATCAAAAGAGTCTTGAGTAACACGACGGTCCTTTTCGGCAGTATCCCATTCAAAGCGAACCTGCTCATGGACATAGACATCACAGAGATTGCAGGCCGTGGCAATACTTAAGACGGCATGATCTACCCAGCCAGTTGTATGTTGCACCGGAAGAGTAATGGCCTGTGGTTCTGATTCGTCTTGTTGGTCCGTGGTGGAAGTCCCTAACGTCAATTCTTCCATTTCATCCATCATCATCGTGGGCTGATCTATTCTACTTGGAAAGAGGATTACTGGTGGAGCTAGAGTTGAGGAGGGAGAGTTCTTTTGCTGTTATTATCTGGAGTCGAAAAGTGGGAACAGATTGTCGCGTCTCCATTCAGCGAATGACTACTCTTGTGATATGACTGGTGGTGGTGTACGGTACTGGTGTCAATGGTATGATGGTAGTGTTCGGAGAAGTTTCGAGGTTCCTCTTGCACCGGCAACTCCCTTTCTCACCGTGACAGTGCCCTATTTTCTTAAGATGCAGTGGCGGTAAGATTTTGCTTTATACGATTTGCTTCCAACACTACCAACAGTCTCGAGTTGTAGCGTTACAACTCCCTTTGGTTGGTTGCCGAATGCCGATGGCTATTGACCGAAACAGAGTTTCGTCTTGTATCTCAACGAAGGGATGGCCCAAAATTGTGGCATCGAGCCGTGTTAACGAGGGATCCCGTTGTGAAACGATGTTTGAAAAAATTTGGGACGTTAGGCGTTAACATAAACCTTGATGGGTCCGGAATTGAATCCAATCTTGAGCCAGTTGAGCTGCTAAATTGAACTCCGGCGTACACACGTCATTCGGCCAAGCGCTGTTACAGCCGTTGTCTCATTTTTCTTCTTTGCACCTTGGCGGCACCAGCCTCTAACGTCGCCGATGAAGATTCGACACTCCACTCCACATCATCATCCTCGGATCCTACATTTAAACATTGTTACATTATTGTTGGTACCAGAGGGAGAGGGAAAGATTGAATAAGTAATTCCAACAACCATGAAACTCCTTCTTGTTGTTGCCGCTGCTTTGCTCGGCGTCGTCGCCTCTGCCCAAATTGAGATCCAAGTCGAGGAGGTATCCTACACGGACCCCTATGATGGCGACTACCCTTTGCTTGGATATGTCAGTATCCCTGACGAAACACCAGCTCCAGCCGTTGTCATTATTGTAAGTACAGCATCTGTGAATGAATCTTTCTTGGCCTTGACGCATCCTTGTTCCTCATCGATTGCTACCGTTATTCTTTGGTCTCAAGCCCGACATTTCCAGTGTGGATGACTACGAAAAGACACGAGCCACCATGTTGAACAAAGATCTCGGCTACGTCGGATTTGCTGCCGATATTTTCGGGCCCGATTTTGTAGATGCCAACTCCAGCGTCTGGAGGGAACAGGCGGGGCTTTACCGAGGAAACAACAGTCTCTTCTTTGGACGGATCCAGGCGGCTGTCGATGTTATGATGCAGCATCCAGACGTTATTGCTGACAAAGTTGCCGTCATTGGTTGTGAGTATTCATTTATTCAAATAGCGCGTCAGAAAAGATGGTACCGGTACATCCACTCACCGATCAACTACTACTTTGACCTTCCTCATTAGATTGCTTTGGAGGTACTGGCATTTTGACCTATTCCTTTCTGGGAGCCACTGACGTTGTGGGAGCAGTCTCGTTCCATGGAGGTTTGACTGATTTCCCCGTGGATCAGACAATCAATCATCCTGTCTTGGTGCTCAGTGGTGGTGCCGATGATACTGGGACAGAGGTAGACACCTTGGAGAATAGTTTGAATGCGGCCAATGCGACTTGGCAAATCACGCGATACTCGGGAATTGAACACGCCTTTACGAATTGGAACGACACCAGAGGCCGTTACAGCGAACGTGCTGATTCGCGGTCGTGGCAGGAAATGGCTACCTTTTTGGGAGAAGCCTTTGGAAGCTTTGAATATGGAACCAATCCTCCCAACTCGACAGGTACAAACCAATCTGCAACGATATATATACTACATCATGCCCCGTTCGTTCAAAAGTTGATTTCGTCATTCTCACAATATATGTGTATCACCCCCACAAAAACAGACGTTGCAGCCGTTGACTACGACGATAATGGCTTTGAATTGACGGGATATCTATCAATTCCTCCTGGTGCTGAAATGGACAAGACGCCGGCAGTTGTCATTGTACCGGATTGGGATGGCGTGAGTGGACCAGATGGATACGAGGCCGAACGGGCCACTCTTCTGGCACAAGCAGGATACGTGGGATTTGCAGCTGACATCTATGGTGCTGACAAACAGCAAGTAGAAAGTTTCGATGAAAGGGTTGAACTGACCACGCTCTATCGAACAAATTATACCCTCTTTGTGTCTCGAATCCAGGCCGCCGTCGATCTTGTAGCTGCTCATGAATTGGTGGATCCTGAATCCGTGTTTCTCATTGGCTATTGCTTTGGAGGAACCGGAGTGGTGGACTACTCCTTTGCAGCTGATGTGACAAAGGTCAAGGTGGTGGTTCCTTTCCATGGTGGTCTCACAGGCTTGGCTCCCATTGAAACGGACGTGGTCTATCCCTATGTCCTGGTCCAGTCGGGTGGGGAAGATGACGCACACGGCAACAACACTGAATTGGAGATGATGTTGGATGCCGCCAATGCCACCTGGGAAATCTCAAGATACTCTAACGTCTACCATGGTTTCACTCATTGGGGCGGCGGGGCTTACAACCCTCTTGCAGATTGGAGATCGTGGGATGCAATGATGGGAGTGTTTGAAATGGTTACGAAATCGGATCACGACGACTACGAGGATGATGGCCATGGCCATTCCCACGATCACGGCGACGAAGACGACCACGGAGAGGAGGAGATGGAAGGAGAAGAAAGCACGAACGGTGCCGACGACGCAGAGAGCACCAATGGCGCCACCTCTGCGTGTTGGAGCCAACATCAAGGGTTTGCTGGTTTGGTTTTGCTCTCCATGATTAGTTTTCTGTTGTAGAGATAATTTAGAAAGTACGATTTGTGTAATGCCTATTTTGTAATGCACCAGTACCGGTAGCAGATGGAGACGAGTGAATATGGCATGCGTGGAACTGCAATTGCGATCGTTCTGCGGTTGGAAGTTACGTCCAATGTGCATAAATCAAGGTTGGTTCTCTGCCATACCGGTAGCATACTGTAGCACCTCCAAATCCCCACTGCTAGCAGCAGCTTCACATACGTATTCGTTCCATGGGCAGCCATTTTCGCGGGCGTACTTAAGGCAAGTCAAATGGCCATTGACAGCAGCCTTGTAGATGGCCCTACCGGTATCATCCCATGGACAGCCATTTTCGTGGGCATACTTGAGGCATTCCACATGGCCATTGGCAGCAGCCAAGTTTAAGGTCTTATCATCCCATGGACAGTGGTTCTCATGGGCATATTTGATGCATTCCAAATGGCCATAATAAGCAGCACATTCACAGGTCCCTTGGCCCCATTGACAGTCGTTCTCATGGGCATATTTCAGCACCTCCAAATGGCCACTGGCAGCAGCAGCATGGCATGTGTTTTGGCCCCATGGACAGCCTTTGGCACGTGCATATTTCAGCACCTCCAAATGGCCATTGGCAGCAGCATGGCACATGGTTCCATCCCATGGACAGCCATTTTCATGGGCATACTTCAGAATCTCCAGATTTCCATTGGCAGCAGCTGCATGGCATGTGGTTCCATCCCATGGACAGCCATTCTCGTGGGCAAATTTGAGGATTTCCAAATGACCATTGGCAGCTGCAGCCCTGCATGTGGTTTCATCCCAGTCAAAGACCCAACTTCGGGCCCATTGAAGAGCGAGAAGGCTGCCCATCTTGGCAGCTGTAGCACAAGCAACAGTGCGAACGATCATCTTTCGACCAGTGCCAGCACGGCGGTGCTTGTACCAGTACTCAGCTCGGGGCAAGCTTTAGAAAATTGCACTGTAGAAAGTCATCGTAGGAGTCGCCCAGCAGTGTGTTATATCATCATTGACCAGAGGAGGTTTCTCACGTAGAGCTTCTTCATGGCATGGCTGACTGGAGCCACAAAGGCGTAGTGGCCCATGCCAAGGAAAGGAAAAATATTGTCGATCCAAATATCTTTTTGATCCAACATCGCTGGCTGGTTCTTCTTGATTGGCTGGGAGGACATGATGATGAAACACGATGAGAGTCTGGCAAGAGATACTGGTACACTAGAGAGCTGAGTTGGAGCGGAGCTGGGGAGTTTTTGTTCGATGGACGACAAGAGCGCAGATAACAAGCAAGTTGCTACAGGCTGATTTTGATTCGATTCATCACCGGCGAAAGATATGGGAGTTCGGTGTTCGGTGGCACGACGGCAATGACAAAGCTCAATAATAATAAGATTGCAATACGATTCGATTCCGCCTGGGTAGTGTTGTGTACGGTACGGTCTCTACACCTCTACTACTCTACTACCATGCATCGAAACGGCCCGAAATCGCGATTTACACCAAATTCGGATTTATACTTGTGCTTCGGTTTGATACTTTGGTTTCGATTTTATATTTAGACTTCGATCTTATATTTTGGTTTCGGCTTGATTTTACTAGTTAATTACCATAGTAATTTGGTTTCGGTTTGATACTTTGGTTTCGATTTTATATTTAGGCTTCGATTTTATATTTAGGTTTCGAATTGATCAATTGGTTTGGATTCATAAAATCGTGATCTCCGGCCCTTTCATCTTCTTGTTTTGGCATTTGGCAGGGATCTTCCTTGGAGTGAATGAGTGAATGACGAGTCGAGTCCTGGATAAATCGAATCCTAATTAATTTTTGGAAGCGTTTTCAAAAATGTATTAGAGCTCAAAAAGGAGCTCTAATGAATTTTTGAAAACGCTCCCAAAAATGTATTAGGATTCGAAATAACCACGACTCGAATCTCGAATCGTCATTCGTCCTGCAGTATTTTCTAGTACTGGTATGGTACTGTAAAATTGAAATACTGCCGATAGCTATTAAAATTAATAGTCAAACCGGTACTGGTACCAGGTACATGTAGCAACCGCTCCATCATGCAGGTCCGATCTTCGCGCCAAATTATTTGTCATTGGAGCTACCCTCCCTTCGCTTTGAGTGCTCGCCGCTCATTTTTTCTGTTGATGGATTGAACAACAGTGGAGTCGAGTGACAGTCTTCCACCATGACACCGGCTCCGGCTACCAAGCCCAAGCCGAAGGTTTTTAATCCCTATCGCAAGACAAAGCCAAGCATCTCTGCCACTATTGCTAGTGAAGCCGTCAAAGGAAACGGCGTTCTAAAGAATGGAGTAGTAAAGAAAAATGGAGCATCTTCCACGAAGAAAGAGGTTGCCACAACTACAGCCGTCCAACAACAACATCATCGACAACAACAACAGGTGGATAAGGTTGATGCCGTTCCTCCCAAACCAAAAATGTCCCAGAAGAGTGTTCCCTCTGACAAGTCCCTGCAGCCAAAAGTCTCAGCGTCATCATCACTATCCTCTGTTATTCCCCACAAGAAGAAATCCAAATCATTAAAATCCAAGCTCAAGCAAGAAATTGAGAACATTCGACGTGCCACTCTCTTGGAGAAACAGCGAAAGCAGCTCCGAAAGGAACAGAAAGCCTTGGAAAAGAAACAACGAGAGCAAGAGCGACTCCAGGCGATCGAGGCAGAAAAGCGACGCAAGCAACAGCTACAGGATGAAGAAAGGAGGCGACGTCTCATGGAAGAACAGGAGAAATTGCAGCAGGAACGACTCCGGTTGCAGCTCGAACGTCAGCAAAAGAAACAACAAGAGGAAGAAGAACAGAGAAGGAGACAAAACGAAGAATGGGAAAAGCGCCGCGCGGACCAGCTCATGGACTTGGTTCGGAAAGGATGGGTTCCTTGGCAGGGCGGCAATGGATACCCCATGGCAAACATCAGTGCAATGCCGCCGTCTACCACCGGTGTTCCCTCGCAGCCCTATTTCATTGCACAACAATACCAGGCTCACATGCAACAGCAACAGCCTCACATTCCGATGGAGCCAATCTACAATCCCACCAACGCTGCAGCGCGTCCAGTCCAACCAATTTCAAGCACTCTGGGTGGAACGACGAATACCGGCAATCTTATTGGCATGGGACAGGCATATCCATCGTCAGTTCATTCCAATCCTACCGCAGCCAGTACTGCCGAGATGATATTATCCAAGCCGAGTGATCCGCCGCCAGCTTCTTCAAGCCCAATTGCCACCGCTGCTCCCTTGCCCAGAGGACGACAAGCCACGCAGAATCAAACACCTCCCAAGGTATCATTGCAAGATATTGGTGCGGCTCAGAGCGATGGTAACACGGGCGGACTTGTGACGACGCACCCATCGAGATCGAGTCCAATGGAAACGATGAGTGGCACCGAAAAGGAGAAGGCTACTAGCAGCCTAGTCCCAGCACAACCATCCCTCGTAACTCCTCAAGTCAAATTGAACAAGGACGAGTTGAAGACTGCTGTAGGTACTACCGAGGAAGGACCCTCTGGAAAGGTACTGGGACAACCAAAGGATATGGCAGCACCGTCGCCACTGGCAGACAGCTCCAAGACGGTAATCTCATCCGTCCGGGACGAGACCAGCGGTGGTCATCTTCATAGCATCACGCCAAACAAGGTGCTCTCACATTCGGAACCATCCAAGGCAGCGGCACAAGGGGAAATTTCGCCCACCTCTCATTGCAATGTGGCAAACAACGTCGTTGGAGCCAACAGCATTGCCTCGTCGAGTGATGCCGTGTTGAAGGAAGCAACCGCTACGAATCCGCCCAATGCAGCGGTACAAAGGCGACCACCGATTGTCTCGAGTTGCAACTTGGATAAGACAAGCACTGTTGGGGCTTCGCCGACCGATCAAGTGTTGAAGGAAGCACTCGTAGCTTACGCTGAACAGCACAAAGCGCAATCGAATGTTCCAACAGCTGCCAACAATCTTGTCGTTGCCTCAACGGTTCAGACGGTTCAGTCCGGGAAAGGGGGGCAGCAAGATGCCATGGGGCCATCCAATGACAGCAGTTGCTTTGATGCTCAGGTGCCAACAGCCCACATATCAAACAGTATGCAACAGTATATTGCTCGCCTTACAGCGGAAAAGCCACGCCAAATCACAAGCGCAACTGGCAATGAATTGATGGTTTCATCTGATACGGTCGCGTCCTCCCACCACGTGGCCGTACCTGCAGCTTTGCCCCAGGTCCACATTGCAAACAATGCGCACATGACGGCCCCAACCTCTCACCACGGGCTTGCTCCTCACTTTCCAACCATTGAGCCTTCGAGTCGTTTTGCTACGCCTGCAGCTCCTGCTCCTGCCCAGTGGTTTCCACCAGTTCCAGGAAGCTACCATGGCACACCATATCATCTCTCGACGAATCCTTACGCGCTTTCTGGACACAGCTACTCGCACTACCCTGCGTACGCGTATTATCCATATCCAGGTCTGCAAATGCCATTGACTGCTCAACCATATGGAAGGACCCCGAAACCTCGAAAACCAAGAGCCCCCAAACCACCGGTTATTGAACGATTGGCATGGAAGCCAGTTGATTTCCCCTCGCCCTACGAACGTGCTTACGAAGTCTTGACGCACTCGTTTGTCGTTGTCAAGAAGCCTGGCGAGTCCTTTGGTATCAACCTACGCGAGGAAAAGCAAAGTGCACTCGTCGATCCTGACTGGTTGATAAAAAGTGATGCCGCTCTCAAGAAACCGACCATCCCCGTGAACGCCAATCTTTCAGAATCTACAATCGCTTCATCCGAGACAGAGAAGCCTAAAACTTGTGAGGATGGGGGGAATCAAGGAACTGCTGCTGTCAACACGAACGAAGTGAAGGAAGGAGTGAGCGCAGCTGTTCCTTCCACGGCTGTTGTTCAAGACGAAGCGCCATGCAATGCCACCAAAGACCAAGTGGTGGTGGCCAAATCTGAAGGCGCCACGGCGTCAACGACCCCTTCGGGGGACAATCAGGCGGCTGCCGCCCCGCAGAAGCCGAAGCGCAAGCGGAGAAAACGTGTCTTCTTCGCCGTTATGATGGTGGTTGATGCCTCGATGCAAAACAAGAAAAACGTCAGTGCCATGCATTTGCAACCTGGAGACATTGTGCTATCTATCAATGGTGAAGCAACCGGTGGACAAACTTTCAAAGAGGCTTGCACTTTGTTTACTCAAGGTTGTGTTGAATGCAACAGCGAAAACGGTGAAAAAGTCATTCAGTGCAAGCTGGCAATCGCTCGAAAGAAACCTGAACCGAGACCTCCGCCACCGCTCTCGGTTCCCTCGGTGAACTTACCAAAGCCCACTGTAGGCTTGCCAAACCCAATCAGCAATATTCTGAATACCACCCAAATTCCGAAACCGGCTGCACCTCTGGACGTCAACGCATTCTCAGAAATCCTGAGCAAGGCCAGTCTCGATTCTCGGCGTGTTCTAGGGGCTTCGATCCCAGATGACCTTCTTCGCTCGCTTGTTGCGTGCTCCCCTAAACTTGTTGGCTACGACCTTTTGTCTTTGAAGGGAGCGTGGACGATCGTTACCAGCAAACTTGAAACATCTATGAAAATGGGAGCAGAAAACTTTTGGAAGGCTCAATGGGAAAAGGAAAGGGAGTTGGCAAACACCGTCGCAACTCCTGTAACTGACGCCATGAGAGCCAGAATGCGTGCGGCGCCACGCCCCACCAAAGGATGCAAGTGTGGCAGCCAGGACCACGAGTACGTCAATGACCCGCAATGTCCTCTCTACAAGGACGTCCTTCCGCTTTCCAGTCGCGTGCGTGATGCTTCTTCCGAGCAGCCAAAGGCTACAGCGAATGGTCTGGACCGGCCTTTGAATAAAGTTGAGACGGCTCTCAAAGACCGATTCCTCAAGCTCAAGTCCGAAGAGAAGGCACAAGAGGAAGAAGCGAAGTTTGTCTTGGAGATGGAGCAGATTCAGGTGCATCAAATGGGAAAGGCTGTCTTTTCTCCGAGCCTTACGGCCATGGTGCTCTCCGTTGTTTTCGAATTGCAGAGCTCCTTCCCGTTGGAGAATGACACTGTGTGCACTGAAGTGACCGCGGAGCCAACCAACGATGTCGACGAAGAGGAAGATGAAGAAGATGTCCCATTGGCTGCTCTCGGAGGGAAACGGCGGGCTTTGCCTACGGAATCTGCATCCAGTAAGCGGCACAAGGAAGATGTATGTATCAAGAAGCTGTTCCTGGCTAAGTTACTGTTGCAGATTAGCAAAACCTGGGGTCATCTCTATCGAGAGACGGAAGATGTTGATTATGCATGGTAAGTTGAACCACCTAGTCTGTTGCTTGCAGGGGCCAGTTGATCAATAATCCCATGAAGCAATGCCTCACCAACCTTGGCGCAAACCTTGTTCAGGCGCTGGGAAGTCTATCATGGCCAAACGGACACGGAAGGTGGCAAATGGGAGCCACACTCCAAGAATCCTCGCAAGGTTGGGTCGTTGTCATTCGAAAACATACGATTCATGTTGACGGATGAGTTCCTGGGTAAGCTCCACGGCAGTCAAACTGCCGAGGCAACGATGGAGTACTTGGTCTCCACCGAACGAACAGGAGTCCACGACGAACTTCTAGCCTTGGTGAGAACGGGCATCTTGTCTATGCAAGGCGGAGTACCTAGACCATCACCGGCTTGGTACACGATGGTGGACCTCAAGTGAGTATAGTGCGTCGTACGTGATGCACGAGCATTCCTGTAGCCTCTTGCCCCCCTCACACTTTGCTTTTCTCTCCCTCGTGGACCAGTCTACTGAACGAGATGCACGGCACTTGGTCGCCTGCAGCGGACGAGTTCGGGAAGTATTCTGTTTCCAACAAGATGAGGAAGAAGCTGTATGACAAGTGGGTGGTTTCGGAATACGGCTGGGCCCTCAAGACGGATCCCTCTGACATTGTCTACGAATTCGAAGAGTGGGAAGAATGGCGTCAAACGTTCGAAGACAAACAAGAGGCTCGTTCGGACAATGTTCACGGCATTGGAAGATTTGGTCTTTAGGTTAGGCAGCTGCTTTCTTGAGAGACAAACCTGATTGTTTGTCGTCAGAAAAGCAAGCCTGAATACCTCTTGCTTGGCGCTTAGTACGCTTCTAGCTAGTAGCTAGTTAGTAGTAGAAAGTAGATTCGATTCAACTTGAACCGTAGTTCCTGGACTGAGGCACGTACATATCTATGATATCTGGCTGTACCTTTCTCCACAGCCATCCATCAGCAGTTAGTTCGCTCATTACGTCCAATGCAATTCCACAGCACCTTCGATCTTGCTTGCGAATTCAATACTATACCCCATCCTAAAACACTGACAGAGTGGCTGGAAGCCACAGATTAGATGACAGCGACTACCTGGTAACTAACTACATGTAGATCTACCGCTACTAGCTAGCTAGTACCACCGACTCCGCAACGTTGTTGGCCTCCAACTGGAGGAAGTTGGTGAGGCCGGGAGTTGAAAAGATGACTGGTGGCTAATAATGCTTCGCCGGCTCCATGCTTCTTCGAAGAACTTCCGACCGCAGTTTCTCCACAAATTCTGCTGGACCTTTCCACTCCGTCACCATCTGCCGCGAAGACATGGTGAGTCGAGTCACAAAGATCCGGGAAGGAATGGATCTTCGGTTGACATTCACCCATCAAACCAAAAAACACAAATTCGTTTTCTCTTGGTTGTGGTCGAGGCTAGCTATCTACTTGTTGAGCAGTACAGTACTGTAGTATTCTTTCCCACCATGAACTCGCAAATGCTGCTCCGCTTTGCGGCTCGTCGATTTCCCACGAGCAGTGCTAGTCGGTTTCGCACTAGTACGACGACGACAAGACTTAGTAGTCGAGCTTTCAGCAGTGCCTTGCCGTCGGAAGATCATGAATCGGAATCCTTTTTGACGGGGACATCGAGTTTGTATGCCGAGCAAATGTACGAGCAGTACTTGGAAGATCCCTCGTCGATCCATTCCTCTTGGAAACGGTACTTTGACAATCTGCAAGAAGGAAAACCCTACGATGAAACCGACTTTAACAAACCCACGGCAGCGGCATCGTCTGTCAAACGGGCCTTTGCGGGGGTAAGTAGAAACTGGAACTGAAAGTGGAGGATGTCAAGGTTGCAGGCATCAGGAGTGCTTACTCACCTTCTATTATTTCTTGTTCAATTCTTGCAGGACGCTGCTCCATCGGATTCTCTGGCCGTGGCTCACTTGATTCGCGCTTACCAAGTGAATGGACATCAAGCCGCACGCCTGGATCCACTGGGCATTCATGCCAAGGAAGCCTTTCCCTTTCGTCCCTGCAATACCATGGACCTGTCCAATACCGATGGCTGGCCTCCGGAATTGACGCTGGAATATCACGGATTTAGTGACGCCGATCTCGATCGCAAGCTCCATTTCAAAGGACGAGGAAGCGGTGGAAATAAAGGATACCTCGAAGAATTGTCACAATCACCCGATAAGGTCACTCTTCGGGGAATCTTGGAAGAATTGAGAAGGACCTACTGTTCTACAATGGGAGTCGAGTACATGCATATTGTAAGTATCGTCATTCTGCTAGAAAGATTGTCCATGCCATCAATCATTCCATTCTGTTATGTTGGAAATTCCCACTCATTTCTATTCCATAATTAATTCAATCAATCAAAAAAGGGAGATCAAGACAAGATGAATTGGTTGCGACAACGCATTGAAAATCCCAAATTCCAAAATTACGACAAGGAAAAGAAACAACACATTTTCGAACGACTGTGCTTTGCCGATACCTTTGAAAACTTTTTGGCACAGAAATTCAATACCACCAAACGATTCGGACTCGATGGAGGAGAAGCCATCATCCCGGCACTCAAGGATGCCATTGATCGAGCATCCGAACTGGGAGCGCATTCCTTTGTCATTGGAATGCCTCATCGAGGACGGCTCAATGTGCTGGCCAATGTCATGCGAAAACCCATGCCACTCATCTTTAGTGAATTCCAGGGAACGCATTATGATATCAGTGAACATACCAAGGGAGGAGATGACTGGGGGATGAGTGGAGATGTCAAGTACCATTTGGGATCTTCCATGGACCGCACGTATCCCGATGGAAGAAAGATTCATCTCTCCCTCGTGGCCAATCCGTCCCATCTCGAATGCGTCAATCCTGTGGTGGTTGGAAAGATTCGAGCCAAACAGTATTACTCGGGAGATCGGTAGGTTTCTTGGCAGAATATATATTGCACTTGTATACATATCATTTTGGTGGTCGTTGCTGTTTTCTCACACGATTTCATTGGTGTCCCTATGTATTACCCAGCCCGGAAGATATGCGAAATGCCGTTCCCGTGCTGTTGCACGGAGATGCTGCTTTTGCCGGACAAGGGGTTGTGTACGAAACTATGCAAATGGCCAAGGTACAAGATTTCGACGTAGGAGGAACCATTCATGTCATTGTCAACAATCAGATTGGATTCACAACCAATCCCAAAAACTCTCGGAGCACACCCTACTGCAGTGATCTCGGGAAAGCCTTTGGATGTCCCATTTTCCATTGCAACGGTGATGATCCATTGGCAGTCTCCGCGGCCCTGGAGACTGCTATTGAATATCGACACGAATGGGGATCCGATGTCATTGTGGATATGGTCTGCTATCGTCGTAATGGACACAATGAATTGGATCAGCCCGCATTTACGCAACCCATCCTCTACAAGAAAATCAACCGTCATCCCACGGCGCTGCAAATCTACGAAAAACGATTGCTCGATGAAGGGACACTGTCCAAGGAAGAATGCGACGAAATTCGGCAATTCACATTGGAGTCCTACGAAAATGACTTGGAAGCCAGCAAAACGTACCGCAAAAAGGAAGACGACTGGCTGAGTTCCCATTGGAGTGGCTTCAAGGGCCCGTCCCAGAAGAGTCGAATCCGTCCTACCGGTGTAGATATTGAGGTCTTGCGAAAAATTGGTGTCCAATCCGGAACAGTGCCACCCGACTTTAAACTGCATCGTCAAATGGCCAAGGTAAGAAAGATGCGGGGATCGAGTTCACATTCCATTATGGGCAATTAATAATGGACGGAATCGAATCAGTATATGGCTGCTGGCTAACGATACAACTGTTTTTTCCTTTTGCTGACAGATCTTCAAGGCCCGCGTTGCCATGGCAGAAGCTGGAGAAGGCATTGACTGGGGAACGGCCGAGGCAATGGCGTTTGGATCTCTAATGATTGAAGGTAACCATGTTCGCATCACAGGACAAGACGTCCAGCGCGGAACCTTCAGTCACAGACATGGCGTTGTGAAGGACCAAGACACAGAAGAAGAGTACACACCCTTGAACCACATTGCTAAGCGAATGGAACCGTCTGCTCCCAAGGAAGAGTTGGCACGCCCCGACACACAAGCTGGTTTGATTGCTAGAAATTCCATTCTTTCTGAGTTCGCAGTGCTGGGATTTGAGCTGGGATACAGTTTGGAGAATCCCAATGCTCTCGTTCTCTGGGAAGCCCAATTTGGAGATTTCGTGAATGGCGCACAAATCATGATCGATCAGTTCATTTCTTCGGGAGAGGACAAGTGGCTTCGTCAGAGTGGCCTCGTAATGTTGCTTCCCCACGGTTACGACGGGCAAGGAGCCGAGCACTCTTCGTGCCGTCCGGAACGGTTCCTGCAACAGGTCGACGAAGATCCTCACCATATCCCAGAAATGTCTCGTGATGATCGGATGCAGATTCAACAAACAAACTGGCAGGTTGTCAATTGCTCGACTCCTGCCAGCTACTTCCACTGCCTGAGGAGACAAATTCACCGCGACTTCCGCAAGCCATTGATTGTGCTCTCCCCCAAGAATCTGTTGCGACACAAGAAATGCGTGTCCAGTTTAGAAGAGATGGGACCCGGAACCACATTCAAGGTAAGCCAATGATGGTTGCATCTGTGCCAGGAATACTGTTTTCAATAATTGCTTACATTTTCCTTCTTTTTGTTTGTACACAGCGAGTCATTGACGAGACAGACCTAGAGATTTCTGGCAACCCTGACAGTGTCAAGGTGCGTTGTCTCCCGACTATTCGCTGGATGCATTGATTGTCCCGATGGAGCAATGTACAGCTCATGTCTTTTGTTTCGTTTCATTTCATTCCCTTTTTCGTGCGGGTAGACCCTTGTATTCTGCTCGGGGCAAATCTACTATGAGCTCCTGGCCGAGAGAGAAAAGCGTGGGCGAAAGGATGTTGCCCTGGTTCGTCTTGAACAGATCGCCCCGTTCGCCTTTGAGCGCGTTGCCAAGAATGCTGCCCTGTATAAGAATGCCGAGGTTATATTTGCTCAACAGGAGCCCAAGTAAGTCTATTTGCGTCTATTCTTTCGACAGTAGAATGAATCGGGCAATGAATTGAACAGCTCAATCTCACCACGTCCACTTTCTCTCTGCTCACAACAGAAACATGGGTGCCTACTCCTACTGCCTTCCTCGCATCATGACGGCGACTCGTGAAATTAATGGTGACGAGAAGCGGGCTCGTTACGTCGGGCGTTCGGTGAGTGCAGCCCCTGCCACTGGAATGGGTGCAGTCCATCAGCAAGAGTACCAGATGATCATGGATGGAGTCTACGGAAAGGAGTAGATAGAAGAAGTAGGCTTGTGGGTATTTTCGGCTGGATGCAAGAGCGTGTACGGAAGAGGAGGAATACTTACTAGTAGCCCACTCAGACAATGTTTAGATCACGGAACATGTCTATCTAGTTGTAGCATTAGGCCCCTCTGCATCAGTACTTTCGGCATTGCTTTACAGTACGTAGGTAGGGAAGAATGTTTGTGGGCATTCTGGTGAGGACAGTCGCAGGCATTTTGCGAATACTGTAACACACTGGATCTACACGCAGCCACAGTGACAGAAACCTCTTTGCTGTCAAGGCTGCCTCACTTCTGATGCTAGTATTGGTTTCCAGGTCCCATTTGGAAAGTTCAGTACTAGCTAGTATTCCCAAAGTCTTGATGCAAGGAGCCTTCTTCACTCTTGCACTCTTGGGAAAAGTTGGTGTTGGTTTTATGGTCCCGAATTTCCAATTGGGGACCCGTCGCTTCAAGATGACGCATCTCCGTCATTGCCTTGTGGTCGGTTTCAGCATGGCTGCCGAAGGTGAATTCGCGTTTGTCATCGCTGTGTCCAATGTCATGATCGATCAAGAATTGTACGCCGCCGTAGTCATCCAAATCTACTTCTGATGCGCTGTGGATGGATGCACCAGTAGCAAGATCGAATGCCTGAATGGAAACATCTAGCTAGCTATACATAATGTACGGCACGCCTTGTTATGCATGTACTGTATACTAGTAAAGAACCTACCTACCCAAACCAACGCAGTCGATTCTTCCACTTGAGCTTTCTCAATTCGCTCTTGGCCGCGTTCATTTCTTGCTGAATATCATCAAAGCTCCTCATGGTGGTATGATCTTTGAGTAGTTTGTCCAACTGTTCAATTTCGTATTCAAGCTGCGCCATTCGCATCTCGTCTTGCGAGCTTGACGTTTGGGTGGTTGCATTTGTCGGTTGCTGATCTTGTTGTTGATACTGTTGTACCGCCTGGGGAAAGAGGTGCCACGCCGAGAAGATGCTGGTGGTTTTGAGCATTCTGGCAATGTCCTGTCGTAGCGTGTTGGTGCTGGATTCCGGGACATGAACCGTCACCATGATATCCTCGTCAGTTGTCGTTGTTGTTTCGTCGTCGTCCTTGAGATCGGTAAACTCCACTGTAATGTGGGATACATCGCCTACGTCGAGTGACATACTCCGATCCTTCATCATAATATTCAATAATTCTTCTTTGGTCATGCGCGTGGCTCCCGGCAGTTGCAGAATTTCTCCCAAATTAAAGCCCGAATTGGTAAAGACTCGAATGCGAGTCGGAATGGCAGTTTCTTGATTCAACAAAGTGACGGCCGCTTGCTCTTTTCGCACTTTGGTGGAATCTTCATTGTCCAACGCCCGGGGCACGACCAACTGGTCGCCTTCTTGTCGTCGATCGACATAACTCACGGCGTCGACTTCTTCGTGTCCAAACCACGGTCGCAGTGTCGGTAGCAAGTCGGGAAAGATCGGATCCAACCATTCCCGCAGCGTTACATTGGAAGCTACAAACCAGGCAATGCAATAGGGCACCACCGTCGTGCCCACGGCGTACCCCAGCATTTGAACAGATCGAGGCCATGGTTTGTCGTCCAAATTGTCCTTTTTGGGTGCTTGTCGTGGAGGTGCCTGGTAGAGTTTGTTCCACTGACGTCGCGACACAAAGGCTGGTACTCCCTTGGGTGGTACAATCGCCGGTGGTGGCGCAGCTGTCAAAGTGGACAAGCGCCGCACAATGGCCCGGCCTTGATGATTATTATTATGTCGGATGAATAAGAATCCTGTGAGAGAGGACATGGTTGATGTTCTATTACCTGAAACTATCAGACGTTGACAAGATGAAGGAAACTGATGCTCATGGCCACAAAAACGTAAAGAAAGGGCCATCCCTCAATCACGAATTGTGAGTCCCATAATTTCGTCTCCTGGAGACGATTTGCTTTAGGGGTAATGGTACCGATGGGGGCAGAGGTTTGAATTATACCCGGCGCGCATTACTTAGAAGGCCCTGTAGAAGTCTACGTATTCGACTAGTATTGTATTGACGGGATACAGTCAACGCATGTACATGCACATGAAAGTGCCTTGCGTTCTTCACATTTTAAAAGTTGGCTCCTAATTTTCGGGGTCGCCTGTGATTTGATTGGACGCTTGATTTTTTTCAATGACTGACATTGAATGACGTACGAGGTGCATGCGAATCTCAGAAAGGTGTTGTAGTAATAAAAGTTTTAATATACAGATTAATTTACCCTATATCCCTACCGTTTATACTATAACAAGAACCCGTCTCTCGCTGGAACATTTCATGTATTGATCTTCTCCTAGGACAAAAGCCCAATAGTATCCTAAAATCTTGCAAGCATGTCTCTCATTCGTTGTCATGGAAGTTCTTTGGATCCCAATCCAGCTTCTTCAATAAGAACAAACCACCATGGTTCGCACCCTTGATAACACCACGTAAGCCCAGTTTTGACAGTATCGCCATGAATGTACAAATAACCACACTGCAGAATATCCCTGTAATTTGTGTCCAGTTGTCGCAGAATTGCTGATAATCGGGAACTCTTACCCTTCATCTTGGTGTGTACAACTTCTCCGTCATAAAACCATCTGGTACTGAAAGTGTAGTCTTGCCCGTTACATAAAAAGTACGTGGCATAATAGTCTCCATTTCATGTTCCACAAGGATAGATTTGATTGACCTGAGAAAAAAGCCGGAATCTTGCAGCCGTTGTCGAGTTGAATAACCATGGGGGGTGCAACCACCCCTCACATTCACCTTTCTACAAAAAGCCGAGATCCATTGGCTTCTCCATTCGGAACATTCGTGTTTCTGTAAACATTACAGGACACCCCTTATATAACTTCAAAGCAGGATCAACCGTTTTCGTTAGTCCGAACCGGTTTTAACGAGTCTTCTCACATGTTGAAAAGAAGTGCTTTAAAACCGAATTGCTCTTAACAGGAACCAGTGTCCTGCTTGATTGGCCATTTGAAGATCGTCCATGAAAATGAGTCTGCATCCATCAGCACGGAATCATCAGCAGGTTTGTTCTTCCAGCAAAATTCTTCGAAGATACTGAGTTAATGGCATCTCGATCTCGATTCAGATAAGTAGCAACTTGAATGTTCTCTGGTGGAACATGGGTTGGGCCAACCACGCAGGCGTCATTGAGGGTCTCAATATCTTCTTCTGTTGGTCGCCCTTCACGAAATCTTAAACAGCGTTGCCCCATTCAGGATCGTCTTGAAGCGGTGCATTCCATCTAACTCAATAAATGAATTCAGAGAGTCATGAAATTCAGGAATGGTGTGCTGAAGATTGTAAATTGGGGGGCGTCCACTGGTTCAAGTTGAGAGTAGTCCCCGCGAACACCAAGTTAAGTCCCCCCAAATGGTTGGTATTCGTCTTGCATCAAGGTCTTGGTGTAGTGGAATATCTTCACTAAATCAAGTTCCCCCGCGAATGAAATTTCGTCGATGATAAGCATCCGTGCGTCACTCCATTCTTCTACCAAGTTCTTCGCCACACTTTCCCGAGTTCTGTTCAATCCACAGCTGAATGCGTTGTTTCCCCATGTATTATTGTAGCAGCAACCCCGACATAGCAGTGACAACAATGGTTCGTCGTTAAATGGATGATCAATCAAACTGCAGAATTCTTTGCCATAGGCCATGACTAAGTCAATTACGGTAGTCTTCCCACTTCCTCCAGGCCCATGTAGAAGAAGAATCAGTTGGGTGCCACGACTTCCTTCAAAATCAAAAGGTTTTTACGAGAAAGTCGGACTTTTGCTTCAACCCCATATCCGGGACCATCCTCTAAGTCCACTTTTCAGCTTCCTCATAAATGTCAACAAGAAGGCTGCATGATACACTCGAAAGCCCTTCTCTGTTTGTCGTCCAGATTGGCAGCCGTTGCCCAGTCACTTATACTTCTCACGCTTCCATTCGCCTGCGACACTTCAACCTGCGGATTGTACTTAAAATACATTTGCCTTTGGATGCACTCCCGTTTGTTAAGTAGAACTTCAATGATCTTGTGATATCGAGTGTAGGCGGTTCACTTTGCTTCTCTTGTAGTGCCATCGTGTGAAAGTCAGCACTTATGGTAACAAATTCGTCTCATCTAACGAATTCTCAGGAATGGGTAACTGCACGTTGTTCCTGCGTTGTCGCTTCCATTGTGACGTTAGCCGTAAAACTAAGACCATCAAAGTGCTTGCCAGAAAGTCCCGGTTTGAATCTGTTGTGCCTGGCTCTCAAGATCACGTATCCAATCTTCGTAAACTTTTGAATCAGATCATCTTCCTCATGTTCGTGCTCATCATCAGATTCGTTTTCGTACATGTTCTCCTCCCATGTTCCGGTCTATAGGGCTTGGTAACTCGTTGAGATCATCCTCTTTCACCTTAATACTCGGGTGTGTTGAAAGCGGTGTCTTGAATGTCTGGATGAATGACAGGTTCCTTTCTGAGAAGACGACGGGTTCTTCGTTTTTCGCTTTTCTCAGAACATCGCATTCATACACTTCACGAAGTCTTTCAGCAAAACATAAAG